ACGAACAATGTGAAATAGAAATGAAAAGAAGTCTGTCGGGGCCGGCCTGGTGGCGCAAGTGGTTAAGTGCGTGCACTCCGCTGCGGTGGCCCGGGGTTCACGGGTTCGGATCCTGGGAGCACAGGGACACACCACTTGTCAAGCCATGCTGTGGCGGCGTCCCGTATAAAGTAGTGGAAGAGGAAGATGGGCATGGATGTTAGCCCACGGCCAGTCTTCCTCAGCAAAAAAAGAGGAAGGTTTGGCAGATGTTAGCTCAGGGCCAATCTTCATAACAAAACAAAACAAAAAAGTCGTCTGTCATTTGGCAAAAGTGAGGGGCAGACCAAATACTGAGAGAGAGGAAAGAAAGTAGGAAAATGTTAGGAGACCCGGAAAAAAGCAAACTCAGGAGTAGGCTTACTGTGCAGCCTGGGCTGAAGGTCAGATTAACCTCAAGGATTTGGCATTTGGGTCATTTTTCCCCCAGGGGCTCTGAGAGCTGAGGTGAAAGTGAGTGGCTGTCCACGAAATCATCTCTAATGTGGGGGGCAAAACAAAGATCAAATTAAAAGTTGATAAAATAACATCATCCTCTACTAACAATAACATGGCTTCTATTGGGGCTGGCCAACAGTTGCAGCCAGCTTTGAAAGAGAAAGAAGGGATGCATCTAATAGCAATACCTAATAAAGTGATGAATCAATGAATTTTTCTGGGAAGGGGAACCAAGCTAGTCAAGTGAGTGAACTTGCCTAGGGCCACAACACAACCTGATGTGTGGACATCTTGCTGTACTTAGTTTCTAGTAAAAAGATAAGGGCAGGATCCCAGATTCTCTCATGGACACAAGGTGGCAAAGGCATAAGATAAAAACATGTGAGAACTACCATCTTTAGAGTCTTACACTGATGCACAAAACAGGGGTGGCACAAACCCAGTGCTCTCAGGAGCCAGGCAAGTAATGTAAGTGGGAGAAGCTGGCCTAAAGAAAGGAAACAGGAAGTTGAAAGGGCGATGAGAAGACTGGAGAACACAGGACCCATCTAGAAGGAATGACCACTATTCAACGCCATAATTTCTCCCCTTAGAAATGTGGGCCCACTGTTGCTAGAGTTTCCAGCTTGAAATCTGAACTTTTATTGAAAATGTCTAATATTTAACACAGAGGGTGGTCCCTCCAAAAAAAAGAAAGTTTCTTGGCCAGATATAGCCATGGGCATCCAATTTTTCAATCTCTGGTGAAGATATATGTACCAAAATGTTCACTGCAGCGGTTAAGTGTATGGCAAGACTGGAAACAATCTAAAATTCTAGCAATAAAAGATTGGTCGAACAAATTGAAGGCTGTTAAAACAATATTATGCATACATACACATGCACGCAGAGATATGGAATCAACTCCAAGATAGATAATTAAAGGAGAAAATGTTACGTCCAAAAGAGGGCGTAGGGAGCCAGCCCTGTGGCGCAGTAAAGTGGGCGCACTCGGCTTCAGCGGTCCGAGGGTTCGCAGATTCGGATCCCGCACGTGCACCAACGCACCGCTTTTCAAGCCATGCTGTGGCGGCATCTCATATAAAGTAGAGGAAGATGGGCACAGACGTTAGCCCAGGGCCAATCTTCCTCGGCAAAAAGAGGAGGATTGGCATCAGATGTTAGCTCAGGGCTGATCTTCCTCACAGACACACACACAAAAAGAGGGCCTGTACTATGCTCCCATTTTATATAAAGTGGGGGTGGGGGGCAATAGGAACAATGTGAGACAGAAATAAAAAGGGGGAGACTTGACTATGCGCAGAATAGCTCTGGAAGTTTACAAAAGAATCTGTTGTCATGGTTGCCTTTGGAGAGGAAGCTGGGAGTCTGAGATGAGAGGAGAGCCTTACTTTTCACTGAACATCCTATTGAAAATGTTACAATTTTTTCCAAGTACATGTATTACTTATAGCTTTTAAAAAGTTAATAAACTTTTGAGAAACGACAATAACAAAACAACAACAGCAAGGTGCTCTGCATATGGCTTAGAAATGCCAGGAAGAGGCGATGTGTTCTCCCCAGTCAGGAGTGGGGAGGAAGGGAGCAGCGAATTTTCTCCCTAATTTCTTTGTTTCTCTTTGTGTTTTCCCCTTCCAGCCCCTTCTCATCGTCTTTCCTTATTTCTGGTTTGTTTGTCAACATCTGTTTCTCCACTTCACAATCCCCTGGCATCCCCCCACCCCACCCCCACCCTTGTGCCCACATCTCTCTTCTCCTGCTCAAAAAGGCAGAGCTGATGAATAAATGAAAACAGAGAGTGACTGGAAAAAAAAACATTAGAATGGCCCCCCAAATCCAGGACACTGGAAAAGCAGGCCTTGGATTTCCTAATAAAATTAGAAGCTTGATCTAAAATACAGGAAGACCTCAAGCATTTATTTCATCTAACTCGCTCCTGGGACAAGTCATACATGCAATACAGCCAACTGAAAACACTCCTTCCCTGTTCTTCAAGCCCCACACTCAATCACCAAGCCTGGTGGGTTCTACCTCAGAAATCTCAAGTCCACTCCTTCCTCTAGCCCCATCTCTCCCACTTCAGCCTCATTTCCTGCCTTCAGGCTCCCGCATGGTAACTCAGGCTCAGAAACTCCTGAACTTTCATCCAACACCTTTTTACAACTCTGGAAAACTTCCACCTCTGGAAAACATCCACCTGGAATCCATTGGGTTAAGAGCACAGACTCAGGAGCCACATTGCCTGAGCTGTAATCCTGACTGAAATTTTCTTCATCTACAAAATGAGAATAATAGTACCTATCTCATAGAGTTGCCGTGAACATGACACAAGTTAGAAATGTACAGCACTCAGTGCCCGGCACATAGATGCTCGGGGTTCGCTGATACTATTGACCAACCGGGAAACTCCTCATCCTGAGGCCCAGCCCAGACCTAGCTCATTTGCCCGGTGGCACTGTCACTCCTTCCTTGGCTCTCCCACTGCTTGATCCATGTCTCCTTTGTGATCCTTTTTACTCCATTATAATAACCTATTTACACATTTTCATGTCAGTTTGCTCCATTAGATCCTGCAGGTCGTGGAGGGCAGGGACTGTGTTATTCATTTTTGTAGCTTAGGCGCCCAGAACACAGTATTTCCTCAATAAACAATTTTCTAGATAATCAACCTAGCCCCATTGGGATCCTTGTGGTTCCCAAACATGCTACGGAGCTTTATGACTCTGTACCTAAGCACATGCCTTTCCCAGCTCCTCTCTGTCATCTGCTTGGTAAATGCCATTCTTTTATTTTTTTTCTACTCATACTTTGCACACTCAAGGCCCACAAAGTAGTTGAAATGTCACTTTTTCTGTAAAGTCATCTATGACTCCTCCTTACCTTCCCGGTTATTTCTAGGTTTATATCCCTCTGGCATTTTACAGCGTCTACATTTATTAATTAGTTCTCTTAGATGTCTTTTCCATCTACTCAACAGATCTTTGAGAAACTGATGTGTAGTACTGTGCATGGCATATAGTAAACAAGTGGCCCTCAGTTCTAGCTGTGCATCAGAATTACCCACATAGTTTCTCAAAAATACTGATTTGTTGGAGCCAGCCCTGTGGCACAGTGGTTGAGTTTGGCGTGCTGCTTCTGCAGCCTGGGTTCACGAGTTCGGATCCCAGGCGCGGACCTATACCACTCATCAGCCATGCTGGGGTGGCGACCCACGTACAAAGTGGAGGAAGATTGGCACAGATGTTAGCTTAGGGCTAAACTTCCTCAAGCAAAAAAAGAGGAAGATTGGCAGCAGATGTTAGCTCAGGGTGAGTCTTCCTCAGCGAAAAAAAAAAAAAAATACTGATTTATAGGGCCCCATCCTTAAAGAGTCTTATTCGATAGATTTGTGGCAAAGTCCTAAATCACTCTCTGATAGTTGATGGGCAGCCAGAGTTGAGAACCTCTGTACCAGATACAAAAACTTATGCTAAAGACCTATGTCCAGTCATCGAAAGAAAAACAGTAAAGATTCATTCCACTAAGCCTGAACCAATTCTGAAGTTTCCTCCCACTTAAGAAATGTAAGGACAGTATGGTGTCTTCCTCACTGATGCTCTGGTTCCTTACTATAAAACTGATACACTTTAGGGGCCGGCCCGGTGGCATGGCGGTTAAGTGCATGCGCTCCACTGCAGCAGCCCGGGGTTCGCAGGTTTGGATCCCAGGCATGCACCGATGCACCGCTTGTCAAGCCATGCTGTGGCGGTGTCCCATATACTGTGGCGGTGTCCCATATAAAGTAGAGGAAGATGGACATGGATGTTAGCTCAGGGCCAGTCTTCCTCAGCAAAAAGAGGAGAATTGGCATTGGATGTTAGCTCAGGGCTAATCTTCCTCACAAAAAAAAAAAAAACACAAAAAACACCTGATACACTTTAAAGGATCTGTGGAAGGACAGCAAAAGTAGTAGAATGTGCTGGGCCCAACTAAGGTAATGGCATAAGAGAACAGAGACCAGGAGAAGTAGCTTTATTTGGACTGAGAGTTGGAGAATGAGAGGAGGACCTGAGATAGCATATGAGCTAAAGAGTAGAGATTAGGTTCCAAAATGGCAGAGCTCATCAACCAAATGGACCCCACTTTCCAGCAGTCTTGCAGTTAGTACAATCAATAAAGGCCTTCACATGTGCCACAATTCCAAAAAAGATACAGGTTGTTTTTTTTTCCATAATTAAGTTTCCACCACACCTCCCCAACCACAAGTATTACAAAAGAAAGTAAAAAATCACATTTTACAGATCTTAGACTTGTCTTCAGCATTTAGCTCAAAGGTCTCACCATCTTCAAAAAATAGATATCCTGCTAAACTCATCATAATAAGCTTAAGCTTCGATAGCTTAAGTTCTATCCAAGTAGTGAGAAGACAGCCTTTGCTAGCCCATGGTGATTCTTTTCCCATTTTCCCTAGCCAGTTAGGACTGAACAGCAGATTGAGGCTCAGATGGGGGTGCGGGGGGTGAACAGCAGATTGAGGCTCAGATGGGGCTGCAGGCGGACACGTGGGCTAATTTCGCCCCGTACAAGAAAATGGCATCTGAAGCTTGATGGGAGAGCAGAACTGGAGAGACTTGAGGGAAGGGTCCAGGCCCTGGGTTCAATCAGAGTCACTGCTGGAGGAGGAGGAGGAGGAATGCTGCAAGGGGAAACGGGAAAGGAGACAGCATAAGATCCAAGTGACCTTTGATCACTCCATGGGACATTCTTTGATGCCCCACCCCTCCACCCAAGTGTTTGCTATCTAAGAAAGTCAGGAGTCTTGACCCAGACCGTCCCTTAAAAAGCAAAAGCAAGGATCTCCTTCAGCAGTGAGCATACAGGGATGGATTAAACCATCGCACAGAATTTAACATACTGCATTTGGAGCAAGTTTCCAATGTTCTTTACCTGAGCCAGTGCCTAGGCAAGGAATAAATTATATGCACAAGCATAGTAGAGTGCTAGGAAACTGCCACTACCTTATAAATGCTTATCGATTAGCTGCATGAAAAGTTCCTGGTGGCTATGAATCTAAGAAAAGTGAGTAGAATCAGCACCTGTGTCGTCTGCATCTATCTCTTACTTTTTCCTAAGCCCCAACTGGAAGAAATGAGGAAGGTGGGAGAGAAGGCTGGGAGAATCCTAGTCAAGGTTCTTTACATGCATACTCCCAGCAACAACTGTCATTAAAAACATTTTTGAGTCTCTCCAGGGTAATTTCTCCCCCATTCAATTGGTCCTTCTCCTCAGACTTCTACCAAAGATCCAGAACCAGGAACTAGCACCCAAAGCCATAAAGCAAATAAATACTAGGCAGTAAAATGTAAATTAAGGCCTCCTCAAGATCCAGGTTGGTTCAATCCTTCCAGAGTTATCCTGGGAGCTCCTTTTACCCTTGCTAATTAACACTCCTCTAGAATGAAGATACTGAGCCTTAGGGCTGGGAATGAAACTTAGGCTTTGTCTGAGGCTGAGTCACTGACTGCTTTTGTCCTCAGTTTCCCTGCTGGGTAGTAAGACAAAAAGACCCCCATAATGAAAACAATACCCTGAGAACACTGGAGAGAAAGGAACTCTATGGAACTCGAGCCAGATTATTATCTGTTAATTATTATATAAGACTTTGCTTTGTCAAAGGACTGACCCTATTAATTGACATTTTGACCACCTCAGTGGGAGTGCCCAACTTGCTAAAACATGCATCTGGGGATGTGGGGGGAAAAGTTCTGGGAGAGAGAAAGGCAGACAAGAAGGGCTTTTGATTCTGAAATTTGTTCTAAGGCTCAGCCTCGTCCCTCCAAAATAGAGGGCCCAATTAGCCTAACATTTCTTTTCAAGATTATCAGATTCTTCCCAGTGGGAATCCTTTACAAAGAGGAAGCACCATCTACCAGAGCAACATAATCCCTATCCTGTGTCCTCAGACTGCGAATCCCCCTCGGCCACCCCCTGTCTGCCTAGTCCCTCTGAGGGGGCACTCCTTCCCCACCAGGCTCCAGAGGGCACTCACCTTGCCATGCCTGTGGTGTTTGTGCGCCTTTTTATGAGCTTTCTTCATTTTCTTCCGCATCTTCTTGTCCATCACCATTCCGGGAGCCAAGGGATTGAAAGGAGGCATGCCAGGGGCAGGTGGTGGGAATGGAGGGGGGTAGGGACCTGAGGGTTGGCATCCTGGATACCCTGGTTGTGGCCCAGGAGGAGGGGGCCCAGGTGGGGGGAAAGCTGGATTCCCGGGGGGAGGTCCGGAGGGAGGGGGGCCTGGAGGAAAGGCAGGATTGACATGTGGTGGAGGGGGAGGATGGGGACCTCCAGGGCCTCTGATGTAAGGGGGATGTGGATTTGGCCCTAGTGGAGGAAGCAAAGAATAAAATAAGGTTAGAACTGCCCAGAGCCTCTGACAACAAACAATAACAACAACAAAAACAGGATTACGCTTCTCACTCAACGCGTCCTGAAAGGGAAATAGAAAGGCGAGGAAGGAGAACGGAAGGTAGGGGAGACAAACCTGCCTAGGAGAGAGAAAAGGTAAGGTCCCTGGCAGGGCTGGTGAGACAGGGAGACAGTGAGCTCTAAGCAAAGACGAGAGCACTGGGTCAGCTATGGTCGAAGGACTTTGCTTTTGCAAGAGGGGAGAGGGGGAGGAAAAACCTACACAAACTTCCTGTTGTGTGGCCCATCTGAAAAGGGGTTGGGGTGGGAGAAGAGACCCCCAAACACTTACCGGCATTGGGATTCCACATGTTCAGGTGTTTCTTGCAGCCTGATGAGAAAGAAATGAAGGCCAAAAGCTGACGGCCCAGAGGTGGGAAGAGGATTTAGAGACCGAGCCCCACCCCAAGGCCTCCGCCCCTACAGCAGGGTCCCAGAGAACTACCACGACACCCACAGAAGAAATGTTTCTTCTCACTCGCTCCCTCGCCCTCAATACCTACTTTATTGCTAGTTCCCTAACCACAGGAAGCCAGCTCCCAGGGCCCCTCCACCTTCCAGCACCTCTGGCCGCAGCTGGAGGTCTCTAACTCCTCCGGAGAGGGGCCGAGTCCGCGAATCTCGCTACCCCCGCTCTCATCTCCCTTGCCGTGACTGAGTCCAGAAGACTTCAACCACCCACAGGCTAAGGAGGCTCTTTAACAACTCTACCGCCCCCGGGGAGGGAGACAGGGGGTAGGACCCCCACCCGACGCTAAGAGAAGGACCCACCCCCAAGCGAAACCAGGAAGGTGGCTCAGGAAAGATCCTCAAACGCTTACATATGTAGACACACCCCTTCCCCGTTAAAAAGGGCAAATGGAGATCCTGGCTCCCAGCTGCGAAGGGACCCCTGACCCAGAAATGGGGAAACGGGGGAATCCAGAAGCCCCGTCACCTTTACACCTCCTGGGCTCGACTCGTCCTCGGTGTCTGCTCTTGCTTCCTGGTCACTCCTATCCAAGGCTTCGGCACCCGCCTCTGCTACCGCCTAGTTGGGAATTACGTGGTCATTCGGCGTGATGATTGGATAACACACTCATCAATAACTCTAGTCCCCACTAGGCTAGAAGGCAACGGTTGCAGTAGGGGCGGGGCGGAGCACTTTAGGTAGAGGCTGGTGCGGAGGAGCAGGTGGGCCGGAATTCCTCGGGGGCGGGGCTCGGAGAGACGGGCGGGGGAGGGCGGAACCAGTTTGTGGGCAAAGTTCCTGAGCTGCTGTGGAGAAACTCAGCCCCTGCCCTCTCGTCTCCTAGCCCAGTGCGTGCAAACCTTGGTATGTGAATACACCGTGATCAGTATTATAATACAGATGTATACAGAGCGCTTAGGGAAGGGCGGGGAGCTGCTAAGTCGCAGCACCAAGCCTCAATATTGCAGCCTCCCTCCTAGTCCCCGGAGGAAGTAAAGAAACATTCTTGAAGCAAATACTACAGAGAAGATTTCCTAATCTCTCCTAGGATTGCCTATCTTAATTGCATAGCTCAGCGATCTGTCCGAATTGCATAAACCAAAAACCAAGAAACCAAGGAAGTCGTCCTGGATGGCTCTCTCCATCTTTCCCCTCTTCCTCTCCAACACCACGAAGTGCCTGTTTTGTCCGCAAATAAATCTGGAATCCCTCCGCTCCTCTCCATCTTCCCAGCTCCCAACCCACTGTCATCTCTCGTCCGGGTTGCTACAATGGCCTCTTTTTTTAAATAACACAATTAACAAGCTTGGTTCAATGAATATATATAGAACCATGGACCCAAAACTTAAAAAATACTCATTCTTCTTAGAACATTTATAAAAATTGGTCTCAACTAATATAATTCAAAATTCAAAGAATTGTGTAATACATACCGTATTCTCTGACTACAATGTAAAATATAAATACAAACATACATCTGGAAATTTAAAAAACCAACAAAAAGTCTTCCAAATAACTATGGGTCAAAGAATAAACCACGATGGAAATTAAATACTTTGGACTAAGCCATAATGAAAAACTTACATCCCAAATTTGTGGGATACAATAAATATGAAGATAAATTTTATACTGAGTTAGTCATCTTAAACTAAAGACTTTGATAGATTTTTAAAATACTTTTTATTATGAAATAATTTTAGACTCACAAGAAGTTGCAAAAATGATAGAATTCCCATGTACCCTTTACCTAGCTTCCCCCAATGATAATGTCTTACACAACCATAGTGTGTTTTGATATATTTTTATATCAGGTTTATGCTGAATATTTGAGATGAATTGGAATATTTTCTGTTTTTTTAAGATCTCGGGCAATTTATATCCACATTATTTCTTTCTTGAAAGATTATTGAGTTTGAAAGAAATTATTGATGTGTCCATATGGGCATGATGTCTTTTAGAAGTTAGATATTTTAAACTTCTTTTTTTTTTTTTGGTGTGGGAGATTGGCCATGAGCTAACATCCGTTGCCAATCTTCCTCTTTTTGCTTCGGGAGATTGGCCCTGAGCTAACATCTGTGCCCATCTTCCTCTATTCTGCATATGCGACAGCACTACAGCATGGCTTGATGAGCGGTGCATAGGCCTGCCCCTGGGATCCGAACCTGCAAACCGGGAGCCACTGAAGCGCAGCCCGTGAACTCAACCACTACACACACCCGCCCCCGGTGGCCCTGAACTATTTCTTTTTTTAAAGCAGCTTTATTGAGATGTAGTTCATATGCCATACAATTCAGCCATTTAAAGTGTACAATTCAGGGGCCAGCCTGGTGGCGTAGTGGTTAAGTTGGCGCACACTGCTTTGGAGGCGAGGAGTTCCCTGGTTCAGATCTCGGTGTGGACATACGCACCACTCATCAAGCCACGCTGTGGCAGCCTCCCATAAACTAAAGAGAGGAAGATGGGCACAGATGTTAGCTCAGGGTCAATCTTCCTCACCAAAATAAATAAATAAAGTGTACAATTCAGTGGTTTTTAGCATATGCAAAGTGTAGTGCAACCATCACCATTATCTAATTTTAGAACATTTTTGTGGGCCGGCTCCGTGGCTTAGCGGTTGAGTGCGCGCGCTCTGATGCTGGCGGCCCGGGTTCGGCTCCCGGGCGCGACCCGAGGCACCACTTCTCCGTCCAACGCGAGCGAGTCCCACGTACAGCAACTAGAGGGATGTGAACCTATGACATGCAACTGTCTACTGGGGCTTTGGGGGGAAAAAAATGAATAAATAAAATCTAAAAAAAAAAAAAAGAACATTTTTGTTCCCCCTAAAAAAATCTCACGCCCATTAGTAGTCAATCCTCATTCCTCTCCCTACCTCTCCCCCACCCCACCCAAGCCCTAAGCAACCACTAATCAACATTCTGTCTAAACATTTGCCTATTCTAGACATTTTGTATAAATCAAAAATTGTACAATATGTGGCCTTTTGTGACTGGCTTCTTTCACTTAGCATAATATTTTCAAGGTTCATTCATGTTGTAGTATGAGTCAGTACTTCATTCCTCTTTATGAAGCGCTGAATAATATGCTACTGTGTGGATATACCACATTTTGTTTATCTATTCGTCAGTTGATGGACATTTGAAATGTTTTCACTTTTTGCCTATTATGAATATTGCTGCTATGAACATTCATGTACAAGTTTTTGTGTGACTATGTTTTCAATTCTATTGGGTATGTGCCTATGAGAGGAACTGCTGGGTCATATGGTAACTCTGTGTGTTTAACTTTTTAAGGAACTGCCAGACTTTGGAAAATTCCAAAATAGCTACACCATTTTACATTCCCACCAGCAATGTACAAGAGTTCCAATTTCTCCACATCTGTGCCAACACTTGTTACTGTCTGTCTTTGTTGGTATAGCCATCTCAGTGGATGTGAAATGGTGTCTCATTGTACTTGACAATGATCTCTTAACAGTTCTGTCAGCATCCACTCTGGCCTTCTTCCAATTCATTCTTCACATTGCAACCTGGGAAATTTTTTTCTAAAGCCAAATCTGCTTACTTCCTTACTTCACCTTACTGCTTCAAATTCTTCAATGGCTTTGCATTATCCTTAAGACAAAGATCAAGACTATTTTTACATGTATATATTAATTTTTGTTGAGTAGGTAATATGTTCACATGACTTGAAAACCAAAAAGGGTAAAGAGGTGGAAAATGAAATTTCCCTCTCACTCTTATTCTTCATCTATCCAGCCTCCCCCAACTCACATAACCCCTGTATTTAGTTTGTTATATTTACTTCCACAGTATTTCTTCATTACAATCAAGAAAATACTGACATAAATTTACATCCCCTCTTTTAAATATAAAAACAGCAAATTATGCAGAGTTTAATTTGTAATGTTTTCCCCCACTTAATATATCTTGGAGCTATTTCCATATCAGTACATAGAGTGTGTCATCAGTCTTTTTCACAACTGCATTTTATTCTTTTTAATAATGTACATACCAGAATCAATTTAACCAGTCAATCGATATTCGTGTTATTTTCAATCTATTAAAAACAGTGTTGCAATAAGTAACCATATATATGTCATTTTACATATTTTTACTTTTTATAGATATTGATGAATTACCTTCCGTAGAGGTTATATTTATTTACATTCTCACCAGCAATATATGAGTGTCTGTTTCCCCTAACTCGTCCAACAAAGAAATACTCAAAATCTTTTTACATACTGGAGTGTCTGTGGTAGTCTGGCCCTGCTCCATCTTTGGTCTCCTCTCACACTCCTCACCCCTGGCTTTCTGCCCTCCAGCCCCCAGGCTTCGTTCCTCCCTCCAGATCTTGGTTACTTTTGCAGGAGGGCCTTTGCACTTACTGTCCCTTCAGCCTGGAATGCTCTCCCCATCTCTCTCTACTTTGCCTAATTAATTCCTGCTCATTTATCAGCTCTCAACTTCAGGATCACTTCTTCAGGGAAGCCTCCTTGACACCCTAGTCAGGTGACGTTCCTTTGTTGTAGTCTCTAGCACAATCTTGCCTTTCCTTTAGCACACCTATCTCAGTTTATAATTACACATGAATCAGTAATTACTTGATTAATGTCAGCTTCCTACATTAGACTATAAGCTTCTTGAAAGCAAGGACTGTGTTCATTAACACTTAACTGTTCACACAGTGCCTAATACACAGGAGAGTATCAGTGAATAAATTGTTGAATGAATAACTACATGAATGAATGAATGAATAAACGAATAGACAAAGAGGAACAGAGCATGGTGGTTCTGGAATCAGTCAGACTGGATTCAAATCCTGGCTTTGCCACTTATTGTGTGATCTTGAATAAGTTATTTAACCTCTTGGACCATCAGTTTCCTCATCTGTACAACAGTGGTGCTGGCACCTACTTCATAGGGTGGTTGTGATGAGATAATCATGTATTTGTAACATAATAAGCACTTATTATATGGCAGTATGTATTACTATCATCGTTCTCATTAATATTAAGAACTATACTCTTAGACCGGGGTGATTTTAACCTCCCTGCAGGACTCTTTTTTGTGTGTGAGGAAGATTAGCCCTGAGCTAACATGTGTTGCCAATCCTCCTCTTTTTGCTGAGGAAGATTGGCGCTGGCCTAACATCCGTGCCCATCTTCCTCTACTTTATATGGGACGCCGCTACAGCATGGCTTGACAAGCGGTGCATCGGTGCACGCCCAGATCCGAACCGGTGAACCCCGGGCCGCCGAAGCGGAGCACAAGCACTTAACCACTATGCCACCGTGCCAGCCCCCTCCCTGCAGGACTCTTACAGGTTGCCAATATCTTCCCTATCTCTCTTCACCTACCTGCTAATTGGGAAATTATTCCTCAGATTTAAACTTCATTGCTTAAAAGTGTTTAAATAATGCTTTTAAAGCTAATTTCAGCTTATTCATTAAATCAGTAATTATTTACCATGCTCCCGTCATTCATTCATTCAACAAATATTCTTCAAGCTAGCA